TAGCTGGTGACAGGCCTAATGATACGGGTTTCTCTCTTTTTCTTAGGCAGAAGCTCCTCCTGGAGCAGATACAGATCTTATTGATGTTGGATTCACAGATGATGTGAAGAAAGGGGGCCCTGGAAGAGGAGGTGGGGGCGGATTCACAGCACCAGCTGGTGGACTTGATGGAACAGTGCCAATGCCCATGCCCATGCCATCTCCACACACTCCTTTCTCATACCCTCTTCCAAAGGGACCAGTAAGTACACATACAAATAAATATGGATATAAATTCTAGAAAATGTTACAGAAGATGACAAGTTGGCTCTGTGAATACACTCAGGAATTGTAGGTTATCAAGAGGATTTAGCAGTAAGAATATTTGGTATTAGTTTATTGATCATATTGTGGAAAAAATAGCATTGGGATTTGGAGAAAATCTTTTGGTTCATCTGTAGGTAATGAAGTGGGAAAATCTAGAGAGATGGTACTAGAAAAACTCCTTTTCATGTAGGTTTCTTGAAACTTTGGGACTTGTAGGTATACTAGTAGCATTTTCCAAAAATGAATAACCAATACTTATTACCAGGTCTACCTCCTTCGTAGATAAGAAGATGAAAGTCATTGCTAGTAAGAAAGTTTGGGGACTTCCCTGGCAGTCCAGTGGTTAAGACTCCATGCTTCCACTGCATGGGGCGTGAGTTCGATCCCTGGTCAGGGGACTAAGATCCCACGTGTTGTGCAGTGCGGTCGTCTCCTCTCCCCCAAAAAAGAAAGTCTGGTAAGAAGCTTCCCTTGTAGACATTGAGGCAATTTAGTAATTTGAAGAATAGCCTTTGGGTACAGATCTTTAAAAATCTGGATTCTTCCTGATCACATGTGGTCCTTTTAGGCACTTTTTCTTTTGGGGCTCTTGAATACATGTATTAAATATATATCTTGAATATATATATGTATTCAATGTGAATATATTCACATTGAGAAAATAGTTGTATACACACACATATTTATTTCTCCTTTCCTATTTACACACTTCAGAAATTGCAGATCGGGGTAATGTCTCTGATGTTGCCTTTCTCCTCTTGCAGTCGGATTTCAATGGATTGCCAATGGGAACTTATCAGGCCTTTCCCAATATTCATCCACCTCAGATACCAGCAACTCCCCCATCGTATGAATCTGTAAGTGCCTGAGCCTCTTTTATAAGCAGCAGGAGAGTGAATCCATGAAGAGAGAGCAAAATAATGGCCACAGGGAAGGCAAAGTTTTGATCAACTAGTACTGGCATTGCTCTATGCTTTGGATTCTTGTGTTGCTTTAATATTACCCTGGAAACGGGGGGTGGTGGTGGTGGTGGTGGCAGCATCGTTGGGGGCAATGCTTTGTCTGCAGTTAAGCCAGGAATCAGGAAGGAGCTGCAGATCCTGGAAAGTTGTGGTAGGGCACTTGATCAGACTTTTTTTTTAGACTAGGCAGAGAATCATATTGAGCTGGTACAGTCTTGGTACTAGAATAATTGAAATACCAGTTTTATAAATTCTCAACACTGTGTAAAGGAATAAGAACCAGATTTTTGTCTTAAACAGATAAGTGTCTAGTAAATTTCAGCCTATAGCATTTATTTTATATTTTAGTCTTATAGTTAGAGCTTGCTGTTATTGCTATATGGTAATGATGCCTCGAACTGTAGGTGGTTGTACCGGTTTTGGTTCAGAATTAGATGACTTTTCTGCCAGCCTTGTTTGCTCATCTAGGGAGATCGCCCTGTTCCTGAGCTTGCTTAGTGTTCTTTCCTTTGGTTTTTACATTGGGCCTGAATTTTTATGTTTTGGTTTTGCACGCATTGAAGCATTGCCCACAGCTGTTTCTAGGAACGAGGTAGAAGATCTTCGTTAGTATTTGAGGACTTGGTTCTTGGAGATGAATGTGGCGGTTTAGAATGCTTTCTCTCTGCCTGGAAGGTGAAGGTAACAGATTAAAGAGATGTTATGGTGTGGTAAGAATTTTCTTTTCCTCTGCTTGGCAGTTATGAGTTCAACATGGTATCTGTCTGGTTGGAAGAAGATCAGGAAAGGAGTATAGGGGGCGGAGGGGCAGTTTCTTTGGAGCAGTTTCTGTTGCTTTTGCTGAGCAGCTTAGCTTTTGCAACACACATGGGCTTATACCATTACTTTCACCAGTGATGCCATTGCTTTCTCCTCTGGTCATGATCTTTGTGTTTCAGGTTGATGACATTAATGCTGATAAGAATGTCTCTTCTGCACAGATCATTGGTGAGTCAGAAACCCTCGAGAGTTTCTCAGTACTGAACCCTTTGCTGTTTTCTTATCTCTGTTCCTCCCTCAGATTGTTTTTATGCTTGTGGCATTCTACCTACGTGCCACGTTCTCTCCCCAAATGCAGTATGGTGGAAATAGAACTCAGGATTTCCCACTTCCAAAAAGAAAAGATCTTTCGTGGCTCCAAAGAATCTCCCCAGTTCCCTGTTTCTGTTAGTGATATCATTATTCTTTTTCACCTTGCAGTTTTCAGTCATCCTCAGGTTCGGTGTATTCCTGCTGCTTCCATTTCCACTGTGCCTGGAAATACCAAAATTTTTTTAAAATTTGGGCATTAAAGAGGGGGATACACATAAATCATAAGTGTATAGCTCAGTGACTTTTCACAAAGCAAGCATGCTCATGTAGCCATTCACTGAAAAATTAAAACACTACCAGCACTTCAGAAACCCAGAGGGGAATATTTTTTAAAATTGGGACAGTTTCATTGAGGTATATTTTACATACAAAAAATACACAGAAGTGTATATTGTGATGAGTTTTGATGTGTCTCCACACATACATTATGTAACCACCACCTCAGTAAAGATACAAAACATTTCTGTCACCCCAGAAAGTTACCTTGTGTTCCTTTCTAGTTAGTTCCATCCCAGAGGCAAGCACTGTTCTTATTTCCTAAAACTATGGTTTAGGTTGCCTGTTCTAGAACTTAGATACAAATGGAAACATACAGTAGGTAGAGAGGGCGATGATTTAAAACGGAAGACTAGAAATACAGATCACATTCTATTACATCAAACGGTATGGATGTTAACATTCCATATAAAATTTTTCTCCCATAAGCCTTAAAGAGTAGCTCATCCCAATAGAATTCTAGTACCATTTCTTGGACTTTCTTATTATGGGAGTAGACCTTTGTGAAAGGGGACAGTCCATTGAAATGAATGCTGTGTACCTAAGCCCCATGCACCACACTTTGACTTTCCCTTAAACTTTTTTCTCACTGTAGGAAAGTAAAACATATTCAACCATAATTAGAAAACGTAGCTGTTAATTGTCCTGAAAATTTTTATTGACCTTTAGAATTATTTTTTAAAAAACAATGTTTTCTCCAGTATTTTGATTATTTTATTGTTTCTGCCATGGGGGATTGTGGGGTTTGAGGATCTGAGCCACGGGCATTTTTAACATCTGTGCTCCTTACTGTAATTTAATTAGGTCCTGGACCCAAGCCAGAAGCTTCTGCAAAGCCCCCTTCCAGACCCGTGGATACCTATGACAACTTTGTACTGCCAGAATTGCCATCTGTGCCAGACACACTACCAACTGCATCTGCTGGTGCCAACACCTCAGCCTCTGAAGACATTGACTTCGATGATCTTTCCCGGAGATTTGAAGAGCTGAAGAAGAAAACATAGGCTTCCTAAACCAGGCAAGGTCCAAGTTCTGGGAATTGAGACTGAGCAGTTTCTCCTTGTAACAAAGAATCTCCATGAAATTCTGCTTCATCTGTTAACCATCACTGAGTACACTCTTCCTCTGGGTTCTCTTCCTGCTCTGACACACTCGGCTGCCTTCCGGTTCTCCACTGCTCCTGAGAGACTAACAACTGGAGATTGTGAGGTTGGAGCAGCTGGCTCCTGGCAGCCTTGCTTGTCCATTTCCTGTCAGTGTGATCCCATTTCTCTCCTTCCTGTCCCACCATCTCTCCACAGGGGAGTGAGAAGGGGAGAGCTGTCAAAGATGGCCGGATGGTGGAGGAGAGTACTTCATGAAGTGTCTCAGCTCTGTGCTGAGGTTCTAGACTTAGAAACAAAGCCCTCCGTACAGAGGGATTGGTGGTGAGTGAGATTCAAGGCCAAGTTGTCGATTTTCTCGCTCTAATATGAATGGGAGAGAGAAAATGGCTCAGGAAGCCATCGTAACAGTTGTTAGAAGCTGGGTCTTCTCATTGACATACACACTACTCCTTGCTGCAGGGCACTGTTCCACCTGGATCCAGTTGCAAACTTTGGAAAGTTGAAGGCCTCTCTTAGTTCTACTGGATTCTCAGGGAGCCCTCTGTGGCCTTTTGCTTTATTTTGAGTGCTGTGTTTCCCTTTTAATAGAGGGCAGCACTGTATATAAATTCCTGTTTTTCCCCATGGCATGTTCTGTTGGATTGCATTGCTGGCCACATACTGGGCAAAAGTCACCATTCAAGGCTAAGGTGGGCTTCCAGTAGCCTTAATAGAAATATTCAAGTCTCTTGAGTAGTGAGCTGGAAAGCCTACAGGTGAAGAGGGGTTCCTGTTTTCATTTGAAAACGTTATGATCAAGAGAACCTTTAAAAACTGATCTCAGATAAATTTTTGGTGCCCATGTGGCTGTAGGTGTTCTGCTCCTTCCCTTGACGGATGAGACTCTGTTTTGCCCCCTAGCTAAGGCCATCCTTCCCCACAAGGATGGATTTGGGATCGGAAGATACGACTTCGGCTTCTGTGTGGTGTATCTGTACACACTTGTTTCAAGCAACTTCAATGTTTTTGATTGATTTGTATGTCATGGCTCAGTAGCTGCTAATAAAGTTAAAAATTCTGTGCCCCGCTTTCTCCATTGTTTTGGTCAAATGACGAGGGTCAAGATTTTAGTGGAGAGTATTTAAGCAAGTGACACATACTGGGCACAAGCCAGACCTTATTGGCTCCCTGGGTAGGATGCCTGGGGAGTAAGGGGCCCATTTCGATCTCAGTATTTAAGCCCAGATTGTTACCTGTGAGTTGGCTTGGTTACTTCTGTGTGACAGGGCTCCCCCTTAGCCAAATCTCATGCTTGTATCTTTAATTAAAGTTGCAGTGAGCTTACTTCTGACTCATATTTCCCATAGTCATCCTGGAACATGAATGATGTTACTTGGTGTTTGTTTGGCAGCAGAGCTGGTTTATCCTGCATCACTCTTGCAGTGTTAACCCTCTGATAGTGCCAAGTTCCATAAACATAAGAATCTGCAGCCAAGGGGATTTTTATTCTTCACTAACAAAATTAACTAAGTATATTATAAACATCTATAATTTTCTAAAGTACACCATGCAAATATCAGTATTAATATACTAAGAAGTAATAAGCCAAGCGAAGAGGTAACAGGATTAATCTTTTGAAACTTCATTTGTCAGTGGCCATTGCTGTTACAGCTGTTTGCTTACTTACATGTGTTCTGGTGTTGCTGTATTCCTAACAAACTTGAGAGCTTCAGTAGCAGCATAACCATCAGTGCAGCTTCTTTCTGAGTCTGTTGGAAGACAAAAAGAGAAAAGCAAGGAAATCGAAATTGCTGCTAGTGGTGGAGGAAAAAAAGTACCAAAGATATATTTTTTAAAAAGTAGATATTAAGTGTAAAGATACTGTTTCCTTTAATGGTTTACTGTCAGGCCTTGGAGTGTTTCTGCTACTTAACAGTGGAGGGCCAGCTATTTATAGGACAGTGGATGTAGAACATAATGTACTTTTGGTAAATTGGGTTTCCTAGGAAAATGGTTGGCAGAGCTGTGGAGACTAATAAAGGGAGTATGCTGATACTGTGCGTTATGTCAGTCTGTAATCTTAAGAGCAGCTACAATTGAGCTTTTCCAGTGATAAAATCATGATAGGGTTTATATTTCAATTACTGAGTCAGAGTTACTTACCTTAAAGGACTTTCTTTCTTTACCAAAGGTCATTAAAATGGCAGAAACAAAAAGGTTGATCACAAATACCATCAAAACGGCACTGGTTAGGAGAATAAGAAAGGAGCTCAGGACTGGGTTTAAAGCAATAACCTGAAAAGACAATAGGACACTTCGAGTTTAAACACTGAGAGTTTAATATCTACTTTAAAAATGTAAGATATATGCTAACATTTGGGATATATTCATGTAAGGAAACACTTACGTCTGGTGGAAACTAGAAAAGCAAAAATATTAAAAAGGAAAATACTTTTGAGTGGACAGAAAAGCAAGAGTGACTGACTCTAAGAGTGTAAATAATTGTGCCTTCAGGGCTTTCACAAGAAGAAAACAGGTGAGTTGTAATGGAATTATAAGTGACTCAAAGCCCATGTGAGTTGTTGGGAATTCTGGAAAATATTTCTAAACATGGAAGCTTCAAGGAATAGCAAAAGTGTGTTGAAAAAATACACAGATACCAGCAGTGATAATGAAAACTGTCCCTGCCGTTCCAAGCACTTTCTACTCTGAACATAGGAGCATTTCAATACAGTTTAAAAGGTTAGCCATAGAAAACTGGCTTTTAATGCTTTTTCTAGATTTTTTTTAATCGTTATCTTTAAAAGTATAATTACTGAGTTTTGCCATTCTTGCCTTTTCAGTACAAAGAGATCTTTCTCAAATGTAGGGCTTACTAGAATGGTTTCCAGTAAAATTTGGTTTCCAAATTCTTAAATTTAGGTGTTCCTTTTAAAAATGATTATTTTCCTTTGGTATTGGCTGATTCATTATTGCCACTGGGCACTGTTTTAAAAAAAAACACCCAACAACTTAGAGGATGAATACTTGCAATAAATACTATTGTGATGGAAATCTCTGTGACAGAGATATTATAATGGCTGCCAGCTTATATCTACTTATTTTAAAAGAGCTTAATCATAACTCCAGGTAAACCAAACAGTTTGGGCAAACGTTGAGTTTGTGATGCAAGACTATTCCCAGTAAGTATACTCCATTTTCCCTTTTAAGTCAAAAAGTAGGTGTCAGCAAAAGTTTATTATGATTGTTACTTCTTTAAGAGCTTTAGTATATAAAGTGTTCCAGGGGTGAGGACTTCATTCCCTAGTGATTGGGGCTGGAACCATAACAAAACAGTCCACCCAAAATAGCAGTTATGTTAATCTTTCTTAGATTTTAGGAAGGTGGTGGTAACTTTCCACGTTAGAAACTATGTTAATTTACCCATTTTAATTAGTAACCTTTGATTTCTAGAGTATCAGAATGATGAGCTTTGATGAAAATCTTGCCAGTTTCACTAATTTGAATTGCAGTTTTTTTCTTATCAAATCTATATGTGCTAGTGTTTGGGACCCAAAACCTCACCTGGGTTTCCTACTTTATTTTTTATGTTGAGTAGAAAGGGATTTGTGTAGGTAGTTCCTGGGAGAAAATAACAGCCTCTCTGAAATTAGTATTTATAGACAGAAATAACTGCAGTTCTTTCTGGACTTGTACCTCCCTAATTTTTCTTTTTTAAGTCACTTCCAATTGTACCCTTCAAAGGGCCATTGAGAAAGCAGCAGCAATCATGTTAATCTGGCCAGGTGTGAGAACACAAGTTCAGGCCCAGTGTCTTTGGCTGTAAGATTAAGGATAGAAGAAGTGAGAAAGGTGGGACTATGTGCTTAGGAAAGGAAGGATTTCTGAAGGTAACAGCCACTCAAAAGCTATACAGTATCTGTAGGTAATACCATAAAATAATGGCAAAGGAACTAAGTTTCTCCCTTTTCCAGTATGCAGTGGTACAGTAGGGGCTGCTTTTATAAGCAATTCTCCCCTTGTTTGATATATTAAACCAAATAGAATTCTGCAGGGAAACCAGGAATAGGGTTTTTACCTCCTTGTGATGAGAGATTCCCATCAGGAGACCAACAACAGTCACTGCTGAACTGAGACAAGTTCGGTAGTCAGAGATGCTCCATCCAAACAGCAGGTTAAACTGAAAAAGAACTGTCAGATGGGGGTGGAGAGTAGTAGAGGGGACTGCACTTCTTTGGGTCCTGAGGTGCTTGATAATGGTGAGGTCAAGGTAGAACCAATGGAATAGAAATTAAAGAAGCTCCTTAGTGGCCATTCAAATTGCTATGCCTAAAAACTACACAGAATTCTTCTGTAATTACAGTGTTTTCATATAAATTTGACTTCCATATAGTTCATCCTGTGAACTAAATGTTATCCCCATTTTAGAGATCAAACAAATGTCTTGAGTTTATCATACTGCTAGTTAACTGTGGGCCTACACAACTAAAACCAGCTCCACTGTCTTCTCCAAAACTCATTGCCAACTTGAACTGATGGTTTTCCATTTAGTGACCTTTTCTAAGGGAAGCAATGTGATTCCAAGACTACAGCACTTAGGAAAAGACAGACGCTAGATGCAGCAAAAGCAGTTCTAAGAGGGAAGTTTATAGCAATAAATGCTTACATTAATAAAAATCTCAAATAAAAAACCTAGCTTTACTGCTCAAGGAACTAATAACTGATCCTAAAGTTACAAGAAGAAATGAAGTAATAAAGATTAGGGCAGAAATAGCGACTAGAAAGACAACAGAAAAAAAAGTTAGCTTTTTTGAACAACAAAAATGACAAGCCTTTAGCTAGACTAACCAAGAAAAGAGAAAGGATTCTAATAAATAAAATTACATAAACAAAAGAGGAGACATTACAACTGATATCACAAAAATACAAAGGATCATAAGAGACTACTAGGAATAATTACACACCAACAAACTGGATAACCTAGAAAAAATGGATAAATTGCTAGAAACATACAACTGAATAATGAATAAACAGAAAACCTGAACATACGAAGTATAAGTAAGGAGACTGAAGCAGTAATCAAAAACCTCTCAACAAAGAAAAGCCCAGGACCAGATAGCTTCATGGGTGAATTCTATCAAACATTTAAACTTTTAAATTCTCAGACTTCCCTGGTGGTCCAGTGGTTAGGACTCTGTATTTCCACTGCAGGGGATTGTAGGTTCGATCCCTGGTCAGGAAACTAAGATCCCATGTAAGTCAATAAATGTGATACACCATATTAAAAGAATGAAGGATGAAAAACATCTCCATTGTACATATATACAATGGAATATTACTCAGCCATAAAACGAAACGAAATTGAATTATTTGTAGTGAGGTGGATGGACCTAGAGTCTGTCATACAGAGTGAAGTAAGTCAGAAAGAAAAACAAATACCGTATGCTAACACATATATATGGAATCTAAGAAAAAAAAAATGGTCATGAAGAACCTAGGGGTAAGATGGGAATAAAGACACAGACCTACTAGAGAATGGACTTGATATGGGGAGGGGGAAGGGTAAGCTGTGACAAAGTGAGAGAGTGGCGTGGACATATATACACTACCAAACATAAAATAGATAGCTAGTGGGAAGCAGCCGCATAGCACAGGGAGATCAGCTTGGTGCTTTGTGACCACCTAGAGGGGTGGGATAGGGAGGGTGGGAGGGAGATGCAAGAGGGAAGAGATATGGGGACATATGTATATGTACAACTGATTCACTTTGTTATAAAGCAGAAACTAACACACCATTGTAAAGCAATTATACTCCAATAAAGATGTTAAAAAAAAAACAAAGACATGATCTCAACAGATGCAGAAAGAGCATTCAACAAAATTTAACAACCTTTAATGATAAAAACTCTCAACAAATTAGGCAAGAAGGAATGTACTTCAACATAATAAAGGCCATATATGTCAAGCTCACAGCTAACATCATACTCAATTGTGAAAAGCTAAAAGCTCTTCCTCTAAGATAAGGAACAAGACAAGGATGCCAACTCTCACCACATCTATTCAACACAGTACTGGAAGTCCTAGCCAGAGAAGTTAGGTAAGAAAAATAAATAAAAGGCATCCAAATAAGAAAGGAGGAAGTAAAACTGTCTTTGCAGATGACATGGTCTTATATATAGAAACCCTAAAGACTCCACCAAAAACCTGTTAAAAGAAATGAATTCAGTAACGCTACAGAATAAAAAATCAAAATACAAAAATCAGTTGCATTTTCTTACACTAACAACTAGCTGAAAAAGGAATTAAAAAAAGTCTCATTTACAATAACATCAAAAAGAATAATACACTTGGGAATAAATTTAACCGAGGTGAAAAATCTGTTCAATGAAAACTATAAGAGATTGATGAAAGATATGAAAAAGACAAAAGTAAATGGGAAGATTTCCCACATTCATGGATTGGAAGAGTTAATATTGTTAAAATGTCCATACTACACAAAGTGATCTACAGATTCAATGCAATCTCTATCAAAATTCCAGTGGCATTTTCCCCAGAAATAGAGGAAATCCTAAAATTTGTATGGAACCACAAAAATACCATGAATAGCCAAAATAATCTTGAGAAAGATGAACAAAGCTGGAAGCATCACACTTCCTGATTTCAAACTATATTGCAAAACTATAGTAATCAAAATACTATGATATTGGGATAAAAACAGATACATAGAACAATGGAACTGAATAGAGAACCCAGAATTAAACCCACACCCATAGATTCGGCCAACTAATCTATGACAAGGGTGCCAAGAATACACAATGGGGCTAGTCTCTTCAACAAATAATGCTAGGAAAACTGGATTTCCACATGCAAAAGAATGCAGTTGGACACTTTTATTTTGCCATATACAAAAAATCAACTCCAAATGGATTAACAACTTAAACCTTAGACCTGAAACTGCAAAATTCCTATGAGAAAATAGAAGAAGCTTCTTGACACTGGTCTTGGCAGTTTTTTGGATATGACGCTAAATGCACAGGCAACAAAAGCTATAACAAGTGGGACTACCTCAAACTAAAAAGTTTCTGCGCAGCAAAGGAAACAAACAAAAGGCAGCCTATGAAGTGGGAGAAAATATTTGCAAACTATATATCTGATAAGGGGTTAAAATCCAAAATCCATGAAGAACTCATACAACTCAATACCAAAAAAAAATCATCCTGATTAAAAAATGGGCAAAGGACCTGAATACACATTTTTCTAAAGAAATACAAATGACCAACAGGTATATGTAAAAATCACTAATCATCAAGGAAATAACAAACCGAAACTGCAATGTGATATCACCTCACGACTGTTAGGATGGCTATTATCAAGAAGACAAGAAATAACAAATGTTGGTGAGGGTTTGGAGAAAGGAGCCCTGTTGGTGGGAATGTAAGTTGGTATAGCCATTATGGAAAACAGCATGGAGTTTCCTCAAAAAATTAAAAATAGAGCTACTAGATGATCCAGTAATCCTACTACTGGCTATATATTGAAAGGAAATGAAATCAGCATCTTGAAGAGCTATCTGCACTCCCATGTTCATAGCAGGATTATTCACGAAAGTGAAGATATGAAATAAGCCAAACAAAGAAACATGTATGATCTCTTGTAAGTGCAATTTTTAAAAGTCGAACTTACAGAACCAGAGGGTAGAATGGTGGTTACCAGGGGCTGGGGTGGGGAGGGGGATGGGTGGATGTCAGTCAGAGTATACAAACTTTTAGTTTTAAAATCAATAAGTCCTGGAGATCTAATATATAGCATGATTATAGATTATAGTTAATAGTAATATATTGTATACTTGAAATTTGCTTAGAGAATAAGAGTTCTTATCACACTAAAAACATGTAACCGTGTGAGGTGATGGATATGTTAATTAGTTTGATTGTGGTAAACATTTCACAGTGTATTCATATATCAAAACATCACATTGTACCTTAAATATATACAATTTTAATTTCTCCATTGTACCTCAATAAAGCTGGGGAGAAAAGAGAACCTAAAAACTATTAACAAAAAAATTCAGCAAGCTGGCTGGGTACTAAATATAATAAAATCAATAGCCTTCATATATTCAAACAATATTTACTTAGAAACTATAGTGAAATAAAATCTCATTCACAATAGACCACAAAAGATAAGCCTAACAAGAGATGTGCAAGAATTATATGAAGAGAATTTAATATTACTGAGGGATACAAATGCAGATGAGAATAGAAAAAGCATACCACACTCCCAGATAGAACATCATAAGCTACCAATTCCCTAAATTAATTTTTATAAATCCTTATTTTGTTTCTGTATAAATATCTAAATCTCTACAACTGAACGAGCTCTTAATACATAAAAAGCTCCCATTTATCAAAACAAGCAAACAAAACCAAGCAGCCCAATGAAAAATGGGCAAAAATTATAGAATGACATTGATTCATTCTTTCTCTCCATCAGTATGTATTGAGTGCTCACATACACCAGGTCCTCTTCTAGGTGCTGGGAACACAGCAGTGGCCAAGAGTCCCTGTCCACAGAGCATTCACATTTGAGGAGGGTGGGAGACAGGCAATAACCAAACAATATTCAGGTAATAATTGTGCTATGAAGAAAACTGAGCCGCGGAGCAACTAAGCCCGCGTGCTACAACTACTGAAGCCTGCGCGCCTAGAGCCCGTGCTCTGGCAACAAGAGAAGCCACCGCAGTGAGAAGCCCGCGCACCACAACGAAGAAGAGTTGCCCCCACTCACCGCAACTAGGGAAAGCCCACGCACAGCAACAAAGACCCAACGCAGCCAAAAATGAATGAATAAATAAATAAAAAAAGAAACTGAGTAGGAAGAGGGGATAGAGTGTTCTGTGAGGAGGGAGCAGTGCTGTTTATTTACAGGATGATTAGAGGTTTCTCAGAGGAGGTGGCTTATGAGAAAGACCCTAATAAAGTTCGGAGCTCCCAATGCAAACGTCAGTCAGGGCAACAGCAAGTTCCAAGGCAAGAGCATGTGCATCGTGTTTAAGGAGAGCACAGAAGCTTGTGTGGCTGAATTAGAGTGAATGAGGGTCAGAATGAGGGTAGGAGAAGTAACAGATGTAGCTACAGCTCCGGACAGGGAAGGCCCTAGAGTAAACATTAGAAAGGGTTTGGGCTTTTATTTTAAGTATGATGGAATCCATTGGGAGGTTTTGAACAGGGACAAAACACATTTATGTTGTAAAAAAAATAATATGGGGAAGATGGAATGAAGACGGGCAAGAGCAGAGGCAAGTTTTGTCCATATGAGAGGTGAAAAATGGTTCCTTAGTTTAAACTTGCATTTTCTCATGAGCGCAGTTGCAAACCTTTTGTATATTTCAGAGTTACCTGTATTGTATGAAAACACCAATGTTCACTGAACTGTTGGTGATGTGGGCAGATCTAATACATTGCTCGTGGGAACATTAATTGGTACAATTGAGGAGAACAATTTGGCAATATCTTTCTAAATGAAAAATGGATATACATTTTTAGCAAGTCTTTTCAAGGTACTTATCTTACAGATATATTTGCACATGAGTGAAATTACATATGTAAAAGGGTATAAATGGTAGTATTATTGTTAACAGTATAAGAGTGGAAACAATCTAAATGTCTATTAAAAGGGAACCGGTCATAAAACTTATGGTACATCCACGCAATGGCATACTATATAGTAAATGAATAAAACATAAAAAGGGACAGCTTTATATATGCTGATGGAACAATCTCCAGGCAAATTGAGGGGAAAAGGCAAAAAGGCATGACAATGTTTATAGTATGCTGCTATTTATCATCAAATGTATTTGCAAATGTATAGATTACCTCTGAAAGAATTTACAAGTATACCTTGGAGATACTGTGGCTTCGGTTCTAGACCACTGCAATAAAGCAAGTCACATGAATTTTTTGGTTTCCCAGTGCATATAAAAGTTATGTTTAGGGAATTCCTTGGCTATCCAGTGGTTAGGACTCGGCGCTTTCACTGCTGGGGCCCGGGTTCAATCCCTGGTTGGGGAACTAAGATCGTACAGGCCGTGCGGTGTGGCCAAAAAAAAAAAAGTTATGTTTACACTGTATTATAGTCTATTAAGTGTATAATACCATTATGTCTAAACAATGTACATACACCTAAATTAAAAATGCTTTATTGCTAAAAAATGCTAATCATCACCTGAGCCTTCTTTTAGCAATAGTAACATCCAAGATCACTGATCACAAGTCACCCTAACAAATATAATGAAAAAGTTTGAAATATTTCGAGAGTTACCAAAATGTGACACAGAGACACGAAGTGAGCAAATGCTGTTGGAGAAGTGGCGCCAATGAATTTGCTTGACACAGGGCTGCCACATCTTCAATTTGTTAAAGAAAACATGCAGTATCTGCGAAGTGCAGTAAAGTGAAATGCAGTAAAGTGAGGTATGTCTGTATAATCAATTGGGAATGTAGTTGTCTCTGGGAAAGAGAGGAGGGGGATCAGGGGATAAAGGAGAGTTGCACAATATACATCATGGTACATATGGATTTTCTACATATTTATGTTTTAATTATGAAAAATGTTTTAACATGAAAGAAAAAGATTATGTTACAAAATTTGGCAGGGAGAGGTTTGCAGTAGGTTATTAAAGGACCTAGGGTCCTGCAGAAGATAAAAGAGAAAGGTAAAGGGTGACTTAACCTTCAAAGATGGCCTTACTTTATATTTCTTAAAACTTCAAAGATGGCCTTACTTTATATTTCTTAAAAACTGTGCAATTGTAGAATTGTGATTAGTGTTTTTTCACCTCAGAAGAAAGTCAAAAGAGATAAACTGTAAATTGCGGCAAGAGGAATTTTAATTAAATCCTACAAAAAAAATTCTTCCCTAAATGTGTTTCAACATTGGACTAGGCTATTTAGGAAAGTTCTGTTTTTATAGGATACAGATTTATTTACAGGATACAGATTATCTGCCATGAATGGCTTGGGCTTCAATATTCCTGAAAACAAGTGGACTAATGGGACTGGGCTACATCAATTCTGAAAGCGAAAATTTTTTAGCAGTTGAAGAGTTAAAAAATGTTAGTTACAATTTTTACTGCTGTTTACCCCATATCTACTTAATTCTGTTTCATTATCTACATCTACAGATTGCTGTTGCTCTTCCTTAGTATGTCCAGGTAACTCATGTAAACTCTGTGGTTCTAGTACAACCAGAGCTCCAACTGCCCCAGTTAATAACAATAGCTAACACCCATCGACTGAACAGTATGTGCCCGACACTGTTCTAAGCACTTAGATCTACTAAGGTTTTAATCTTCACATCTGTCTTACAGGGTAGGTTCTAAGATTATCCCCATTGTACAGATGGGGAAACTGAGGCACAGGAGGTTGAGTAATTTACCCAAGAACACACTGCTGGTAAGTGGAGAGCAAGGATGTGAACCTGGGCAGTCTGGGCAGCCTTCTGAGTCTGTGCCTTTGGACCACAACAGTATACTGTAAAGCAAAGGAGTCTAAGAGGAGAACATGCCTATTGTGATGGCACTAGCCTTAGCCACCCAGGGTCTGATTCACTTTTTATTTAAGTCAGTATAGACAGTTACTGACTGCAAACAGAATATGCCCTCAACCTAGAACTGTCACCGTTTAAAACTCAACTAGAAAGAATCAACACGCAATGTACAGAAGTTGCCATCTGTTAAAACTCTTAAATGCAACAAGTACATGTTTAAGAAAAGATTATACAGATGTAGAAAACAAACTTATGCTTACCAAGGGGGAAAGTGGGGGAAGGATAAATTGGAAGATTGGGATTGTATATACACACTATTATATATAAAATAGATAACTAATAAGAACCTGCTATATAGCACGGGGAACTCAATACTCTGTAATGACCTATATGGGAATAGATTCTAAAAAAGAGTGGATATATGTATAACTGATTCACTTTGCTGTACAGCAGAAACACAACATTGTAAATCAACTATACTCCAATAAAAATTAATTTTAAAAAGACTATACATGTTTGCTGAGATGAACATATCATTCCGATTTTTTTCAGGAACCTAGGAGATGTTCCAAATCCCAACAGAAAGCCACCAATCCTGAGATTAATGAATGTAACAATTTCCAGAATACAGCTTAATAAGATATAAAGTTATAATATGGCAAGGTGTTGGTAACTGGTGAAAGATACTGAACAAGAAGCATTCATACTGGGACTTCCCTGGTGGGTGAGTGGTTAAGAATCCACCTTCCAATGCAAGGGATGTGGGTTCAATCCCTGGTCAGGGAACAAAGATCCCACATGCCGTGGGGCAACTAAGCCCGAGCGTGGCAACTACTGAGCCTGCACGCCACAACTAGAGAGCCTGTGGACGCAACTACTGAGCCCACGTGCTCTGGAGCCCATGCGCCACACCTAGAGAGAAGCCTGCGCTTCGCAATGAAGAGCCCGTGCACTGCAATGAAAAGATTCTGCGTGCTGCAACTAAGACCCGATGCAGCTAAATGAAAAAAATAAAAATAAAAAATTATCTAAAAAAAAACAAGCATTCATACTAACTCCTTTTTTCTTTTTTTTTGACTGTGTTTGGGTCTTCGTTGCTGCGCGTGGGCTTTCTTTAGCTGTGGTGAGCGGAGGCTACTCTTCATAGCGGTGCACGGGCTTCTCATTGCAGTGGCTTCCCTTGTTGTGAAGCACAGGCTCTAGGCGCACAGGCTTCAGTAGTTGTGGCACGTGGGCTCAGTAGTTGTGGCTTGCAGGCTCCAGAGCACAGGCTCAGTAGTTGTGGCGCATGGGCTTAGTTGCTCCGCGGCATGTGGGATCTTCCCGGACCAGGGCTTGAACCTGTGTCCCCTGCATTGGCAGGCGGATTCTCAGCAACTGTGCCACCAGGGAAGTCCCCATACTAACTCCTCTTGATGGTGAGGTTCTTTGAGGGTACAAACCATATAATGTCCATCATTTTATTAGCTCCTAGGACAGTTCCCAGCATACTAGGTGTTCACTACATATTCGTGGAACTGAAGTGGATAACCAAGAAAAGTTACACAGACACATCACAGACTTGGGAATGACTGCACATCAGGCAATATATCAAAATATCATCTGGTGTGGAGATCTTTCTGGTTACACTGTTTTCGTGGTTCTGTGCTTATAGAACTTCTCAGCTACATGTGGTTCCCCCCTTCACAAGGAGGCAACCAGTCCCAGGGATCACTCCAGTTACTTTTCATGTTGTTAGTGAATAAAGTCTCAATTTTGTTTATCAGCCTCTTGTGAAACTCATCAGTGGCAATCAGCCTTCATGGGCCTGATCACCCTTGGGTGAACAGACATAAACCTGAACCTGCTTAGATGGGGCCCTGGGAGTGGACCTTTGGGTGCCCACAGAGGTGCAGTCATTTTGAAAAAGCCAGCAGACCTTTCTCCAGTGTTCTAGTGGGTTACTGCAGGGGTGTTTGGAAAACCAACTGCACCCCACATTTGCAGGGCTGGGCCCCAGGACTGTGTTCTTACCTCTGTAATCCCTGTACAGGTTAGGAAGGACGGTGCTACTGGCCCAGGGGTAGGAATGCTTAAGAAGTTTGATCTCTGAGAAGCGGTAAGGAAAGCTCTTGTGGATAGCTTGACGGAGGTAAAATCTGTTGGAGTTGTGTGCTGAGTAGACTGCAGTCATCAACAGGATAAGGAAGAGTATTTGTACTAGTTTTAGAAGAGAAAATCACAGGTGAGTAGTTAGCTTAGAAATCCTCTATGTTTTTCATTTTTTTTCCTAAGCTGACCGACTTTTACAGGTCAAAAACAGTCAAAAGTTGGCAATTTGATATGGTTCAACCTAATAATTGTAAACAGGTAAGCAAAAGCATTTGGCTCTTAGCAATATCTATATAGATATCTATAGATATCTACATATATCCTTCCCAGAATTATTCTGCCACTGATCAGAAATTTTACTTAAAAATAAGATACATAAAATCTCACACAAGTGTTGTATTTTATTTCTTAGGTCTAAATGTCCTCCCAGACCACTCCTTTCATCTCCTCCCCTTCCCCTCCCCAGTTATCTATAGATTGTCTGTGTTCACAAGAAGGGAAGGCATGATAAAAACAGAATTTCTCTTCTTTGGTCCAGAGAATCCAATAACCCAAACACTAGACGTGTTGAACCAGTTACCTTGCACTTACAGGACAGCAGTTTTTTTTTTGTTTGTTTTTTTGACCATGCTGCGTGACATGTGGGATCTTAGTTCCCCCATCAGGGATCGAACCCGTGCCCCCTGCCTAACCACTGGACCACCAGGGAATTCCCAGGACATCTATTTTTCAAAGCATATTCATTTTCCCTCCACCATGAGATGTAGATCGTTTCATTATTACATTCTGCAGGTAGAGAAAGTGACTTACTGAAACACACAATTAGATCTCAAGATTCCAAGTTCAGGAGTCCTTCCATTCACCTTACAGCCTTGCTTAAGGGAATCCAGAATTTTTCGAGGTGAATATTTTAAAATAGTTTTCCACCCTTCTTCTATATTTTCCATTTAATTCTCATTCCCCCTTCCCTTGCTGGGAAATGTGCTGCTGTATCAACAGGTTACCATTTTTTCTCCGTACCCAAAATATCTCCTGTCAACTTGAAGAATTTCTTCTCTTTCAAGGTTCTTTCTGGGCACTTAACTGGACCATTCATAGCTGGGGCTATGTAGATGGGGTTGTTCTCATCTCTTGAACCGGGTAATGATGAAGGACATCTTGCTGTCAAAAATTCAAATATAGGCCAAAAAAGGGTATATTTCATTAAGTAGTTATTCATCAACATTTGTTGAGCATCTTCTATGAGTATCTCCTGTTAAATGTTGAAATAGAGAATAAAGCTATCTAAGCAGCCCTTCCCAAACTATCATGAAAGACTTAAAAAAAAATTTCCAATCCATCAGGGACTGATACTGTTGTAAAAATACAGTAAAAACGAATTACTAGGAAAATGACATATAACAGAGGCCTACAAAATACAAGCACCATTTTGAAAATTAGATTCAATAGGCCTAAAATTAGTCTGCCCAACTGCTCTAAAAGTTTCTAAATGCTTATTCTCAATTTCTGTACTTATCTTGGACTAGAAACACAGTTTTAGTCAGTGGACCACCCGATGGGAGCACTGTTCCAGAGTGGTGGTTCTCAAAGTTTAATGTGCCAGGGGATCACCTGGAATTTTGTTAAAATGCAGTTTCTGGGGTGAGGCCTAAGATTCTGCATATCTGACAGTTCCAGGAGATGCCAGCGCTGCTGGTCTCCAGACCACACTGTAAGCAGAAGAATATAGAGACACGTAAATCAAGACGGAGAGAGAAATGGAGTTCGAATATGACCTAAAACTTGTCAGCCTGTAAGAACCAAATGCTGAGGGATCACTGAAAAGAAAAACCTCCCTGAGGAATTCAGAGAAGGTGGCCCAGAGGCAGTGACATATGACATCTGTTTTGAATGTTGAGTCAGAAAGAATTCTCTAGATGGACAAGGATAAGGACAAGAAAAAAGTCATTTTAGTAGAGGGAACAGCAATTCAAGAGACCTATGAAATGAGGGCTAGGAAGGCAGTTTGAAGTCAGATTACTAACTTTTTAATCTCATAAGGAATAAGATACCAACCCCTTAGCAGCGTGCCCACCACTCAGTTTAAGAAATAAGTGATTGCCAAGATAAAATCCGCTGTGTGCCTCTGTGATGGTATCCCTTCTTTCCTTCAGAGAGCGAATCCTCTCCTAAATTTTGGAGTGTATCATCCTATGCATTTCTTCATTAAAATATATGTCTCCAAGCAAGACATGCATTGTTTTGCATGATTAAAATGGTGTGTTAAAAAAAACAAATGGTCGGGCTTCCCTGGTGGTGCAGTGGTTGACAGTCCGCCTGCCGATGCAGGGAACACGGGTTCGTGCCCCTGTCCGGGAAGATCCCACGTGCCGCGGAGCGGCTGGGCCCGTGAGCCATGGCCGCTGAGCCTGCGCGTCCGGAGCCTGTGCTCCGCAACAGGAGAGGCCACAGCAGTGGGAAGCCCGCATACCACAAAAAGAAACAACAACAACAACAACAACAAAACACAAATGGTCATGAAGAACCTAGGGGCAGGATGGAAATGACGCAGATGTAGAGAATGGACTTGAGGACACGGGGAGGGGGAAGGGTAAGCTGAGACGAAGTGAGAGAGTAGCATGGACATATATACACTACCAAATGTAAAATAGCTAGTGGGAAGCAGCCGCATAGCACAGGGAGATCAGCTCGGTGCTTTGTGACCACCTAGAGGGGTGGGATAGGGAGGGTGGGAGGGAGGGAGATGCAAGAGGGATGAGATATGGGGATATATGTGTAACTGATTCACTTTGTTATAAAGCAGAAACCAACACACCATTGTAAAGCAATTATACTCCAATAAAGATGTTTAAAAAATGTGTTAATTTTTCTGCAGTTTGCTTTTCAGCCATCTTTGTGTTTGTGAGTTTCATCCATGTAATATGAGTGGCTCTAGTCAGTTATTTAGAGGGTAGACTCCCTCAGGTTTGGTGACTGAATGGTGGGTGGGATTTAGGATTATTCTTATGTTTTTAGAGAATGGTGATGCTATTAACTGAAATGAGAAAACAGTAAAGAAGTGAATTTGCGGAGCAGGCAAATAATTCTGCTTGGGGCATGTTTAATTTGAGATACCTGCAGGCATTCAGATACAGAGGGTGAGCAGTTAGAAACAGCACTTGGGGCTCAAAGCTAGAAACACTAGGAAGGAATCTAGAATACAGGGAAGAGTAGAAGCATTGAGAGATCTAGGGAGGGATGGATCACAAAGAGTGTTGGTGACGCACTGGTTAGTCTTGGGCTGGGAAGAAGGTGCAACAGCTGGTCAGAGACAAGATCCTGAATGGATAGATTCCTCTGAGCCAGTGAGGTGGCTAGGAGCCCACTGTTCTGATACAATTTGCTATTTGCAAAATTAGATATTAGTTAGAACTACTTGAATTACCCAAGACTGCCAAGATCCTCTTGGTCTGATGTTCCTTCTCCTCGTGAAGCACAGCACCCTGTTCAGCAGCAGTGAGGGAAACAATGTGAGGAAGATCACCTGGACAGGAAAGTCAGAGGAGAAACTTAACGAGCAGATATTACAGGAACCAGGAAGGTGGCGCCATTAGGTAAAGGTGAAGGTGGGTATGATTAATACATTTCAGTGACTTGGCCCTTTATTTTGATGGAAAACTGAGAATTAAGTAAATTCATAATTATTTTTGCATAACCATGAGGATGTGGTTGATATCATGTTAATCTTTGTATTTTTGCTTGTAGTCCTTAATCTGCTTGGCTAGGAAAGTTTAAACTATTAAATGCTTTGTGATGATCTGTATAAGGTGTTCACTGACACCTGTTTTTGGAACAACTTTGATGTGCTAGACTGAAGCAGCTACATTTTTGAAAGTGCCAGTTTTGCCGAAGCAGGCATGGAATCTTAGAATTGAGTAAGACCTTAAGCCTCTGTTAGGGGAAACAAGTATCCCCCGCTCCTTAAATTTCCTTGGAGGGGAGGAAAGTGCTCCAGTCCTCAGAGAACAAAGGACAAGAGTAGTATTTCCGGCCCGTTGCCACACACCCCTATTGTGATGTGGCAATTCCAGGTGTGTCTGCTCTGCAGACCTAAAGTCGCCCTCTAGTGGATTGTCCCAAGCATTACACTTGAGGGGAAATTACCAAAAAGTACACTTGGCCATGAGTTCAACCAAACTGCACTTTAGCAATACAGATAGCTAAGCTAACACATTGGTTTCCATCTCCTGTTCCTCTTTTTATACTTTCCAACTTTTAAAAACGTATATACATTTATTATAAAAATTTTCAAAAATAGAGATTTTTAAGAAACTTAAAAAATTTGGAATACATCCATTAATCATTTTTGTCTTAATATATCTGGACCAGTTTTCCACATCCTTACATTTTCTATAACATTTTAAATGGCTGCTCGGTATCCCATTACACAGATATGGCTGTCTTATATTAAGCAATATCCTATTTTTGAACATTTAAATTGTTGCCATTTTATTATTATAAACCACTCTGAATTTTCTCAGAATAGATCCTTAGAAATGAAACTTACTCATCAAAGGGATGCAGAATTTGAAGGCTTTTACTGCCAGATTTTTACTGCCAGATTTTTACTGCCAGATTTTCCTCAACCAGCATTAAGTGCCCATTTTCCCTGGTATCACTGTGTATTATCATTTGTTTTCCTTTGCCATTTTTAAAAGCAAAATTGAATCTTACTGTTCTAAGTTATTTGACCAGAGAAGAGGAACTTTTTACAGTTTTTAGCCATTGTAATAACAAAGGTTTTTTAGCTTTAAAAAATGTATTTACACACATTAAAAAAACACACTCTTTTTGGTGTATAATTCTATGTGTTGACAAATACATAGAGTATCCACCACTATAATCAAGATACCTTACAGTTTCATCACCCCCCAAAATTCCCTGATGCTGCCCCTTTGTGATCAGCCCTTTTTACTACCTCCATCTCTGGGAACCACTGATAGATTCTTCATCCACGTAGTTTTTGCTTTTTGCAGAATGTCATATAAATGGAATCATAAAGTATGCTTTTGGAACTGGCTTCTTTCACTTACAATAATACATCTGAGATTCTTCCATGTCACTACATGTACCTGTAGTTTGTTCTTTTTCATTGCTGAGTAGTCTATTGTATGGATGTACCACAGCTTATCCATTCACCAGCTGATGGGCATTTGGGTTGGTTCCATCCTTGGCAATTATTATAATTATTATTATTGGCCACACCATGTGGCATGTGGGATCTTAGTTCCCTGACCAGGGATCAAACCCGTGCCCGCTGCAGTGGAAGCGCAGAGTCTTAACCACTCGACTGCCAGGGAGGTCCCATCCTTGGCAATTATGAATAAAGCTGCTACAAATATTCACACAATTCTGTGTGAACATAAGTTTTTATTTCTACTTATTTATTTACTTATTTATTTTTGGCTGTGTCGGGTCTTTGCTGAGGCATGTGGGCTTCTCTCTAGTTGTGGCGTGAGGGTTTTCTCTTCTCTAGTTGTGGCGCGCAGGCTACAGGGCGCATGAACTCTGTAATTTGCAGCACGCAGGCTCTCTCATTGAGGCGCACAAGCTCAGTAGTTGTGGCACATGGGCTTAGCTGCCCTGCGGCACGTGGGAATCTTAGTTCCCTGACCAAGGACTGAACCCACGTCCCCTGCATTAGAAGGCAGATTCTTTACCACTGGACCACCAGGGAAGTCCCGGTTTTTATTTCTTTTGGGTAAACACCTGGGAGTGCAATTACTAAGTTATATGGTAACTGTATAACTCTGTATGAAACTGGTAAACTGCTTTCCAAAGTGGCTATGCCATTTTTTCATTTCTACCACCAATGAATGAGAGTTCCCAGTTACTCTGCGTCCTCACCAGCATTTAGTATTATCGATATTTTAGTCATTCTACTTCAGGCAATACTGCAAAGCTACAGTAATCAAAACAGCATGGTATTGGCACAAAAACAGACATATGGCTTAATAGAACAGAATAGAGAGCCCAGAAATAAACCCACACACCTATGGTCGATTAGTCTCTCACAAAGCTGGCAAGAATATCCAATGGAGAAAAGACAGTCTCTTCAGCAAGTGGTGCTGGGAAAGTTGGACTGTAGCATGTAAATCAGTGAGTTAGAACACACCCTCACACAAAAATCAGCTCAAAATGGCTTAAAGACTTAAAAATAAAACATGACACCATAAAACTCCTAGAAGAGAACATAGACAAAACATTCTCTGACATCAATCATACCAATGTTTTCTTAGGTCACTCTCCCAAGGAAACAGAAATAAAAGCAAAAAAACCCAAAAAACAAATGGGACTTAATCAAACTTATATGCTTTTGCACAGCAAAGGAAACCATAAATCAAATGAAAAGACAATCTACGGACTGGGAGAAAATATTTGCAAATGATACAACTGACAAGGGCTTAATTTCCAAAATACACAAGCAGCTCATACAACTCAATAACAAAAAAACAACGCAATCAAAAACTGGGCAGAAGACCTTAACAGACATGTCTCCAAAAAGACATACAGATGGCCAACAGGCACATGAAAAAATGCTCATCACTGTTAATTATTAGAGAAATGCAAATCAAAACTACAATGAGGTATCACCTCACACCGCTCAGAATGGCCATCATTAAAAAGTCTACAAATAACAAATGCTCTAGAGGGTGTGGAGAAAAGGCAACCCGCCTACAGTGTTGGTGGGAATGTAAATTGGTGCAGCCACTATGGAAAACAGTATGGAGGTTCCTCAAAAAACTAAAAATAGAGTTGCCATATGATCCAGCAATCCCACTCGCAAGCATATATCCGGACAAAACTGTAATTTGAAAAGATACATGCACCCCTATGTCATAGGGGTGTCACTATTTACAACAGCCAAGACATGGAAACAACCTAAATGTCCATCAACAGATGAATGGATAAAGAAGATGTGGTACATATATATCATGGAATGCTACTTAGCCATAAAAAAGAATGAAATAATGCCATTTGCAGCAACATGGAAGGACCTAGAGATTATGATACTAAGTGAAGTAAATAAGAAAGAGAAAGACAAATACCATTATATCACTTATATGTGGAAACTAAAAAATAATACAAATGAACTTATCTGCAACATGTAAACAGACTCATAGAGAGAAAACAAATTTATGGTTACCAAACAGGAAAGGAGGTGGGGAAGGGATAAATTAGGACTTTGGGATTAGTACATACAAACTACTATATAAAAAATAAACAATAAGGTCCTACTGTATAGCACAGGGCTATTCAGTATTCCCTAATAAACCACAATGGAAAAGAATACGAAAAAGAATACGAATACTTATAACTCAATCATTTGCTGTACACCAGAAACTAACACAACATTGTAAATCAACTACATTTCAATAAAAAAGGTGTCTTTCATAGAGCAAAATGTTTAATTTTGATGAAGTCCAATTTACCTATTTTTTCTTCCCTGGATTGTGCTTTTGGTAATGTATGTATATAAGAACTCTTTGCCTAGCCTAAGGTTTCGAAGATTTTCACCTATGTTTCCTTCTAAAAGATTTGTAATTTTACCTTTGAGTATATGATCCACTGAGTTACTATTTTTTTAAATATTTATTTTGTTTATTCATTTGTTTGGCTGCACCGGGTCTTAGTTGTGGCACACGGGATATTTAATTGCAGCACGTGGGCTTCGTAGCTGCAGCATGTGAACTCTTAGTTGCAGCATGTGGGATCTAGTTCCCCGACCAGGGATCGAACCCAGGCCCCCTGCATTGGGAGTGTGGAATCTTAACCACTGGACCACCAGGGAAGTCCCCATTGAGTTATTTTTATCTGACATTTTATTATTAAATTTTAAAAACATACATAAAAATTGGAAGATACAAAAGTTAACTTTTCACCGTATTTGTTTTGCTTCTTTTGCTGAAGCACTTGAAAATAACAGACATGACATTTCACACCTAATTAAAGGTAATTCTCACTTTACATGGTAGTGTGGGATCATACAAATGACCTAGCAAGCTGAAACTGTGCAAAGTGATCTTAATCATCAGTGGGGAAAAATTATGATCATTCTGTGACATTTAAAGATTTGTGTCAAAATATTAAAATCTCTTATTGTCCGTTATAAAGGGACAAGGAAAAATTTAGAAGTAGTAAAACTAATATGTAATTTAAAACATTAGAAATGTTGAGAATTAAAGTTACTTCTTTGTAGAAAATTTATCAAGAATAATTTGAACAGTGCTGGCCTTCCTCTTGTATAACTTAGGATACGGGGAGAGCATTTTGTCTGTGCCTTTGGTGAATTGTCATACTGTTCTAACTTTGCATTGGCTTCCAGCATCTTATCCTTTATGCTTTCAATGCTGTGAAATATCTCCGAGAGTCACTTTAATGTTAGTTTTTTGCCAGTGTTACTTCCTTTGGGACACCATCATCCTTTTCTTCATAACCAATTTCTACATTTATGTTGGTAAGTTTGACTTTACTAAGTTCACCTGGCTGCGTATCTACAGTTTCTTGAACACAGGCCATCTTCCCATGGTCAGCGGCTTCTTGTATAACTCCATTTACATTCTATTCAAATTTCACTTTCAGTGTTATTTTGTTAATTTGCTGCATTTTCATCTCTGTTGGCCAAGGTCCTCTTTCAATTATCCATTTCATGGTAAAGGTCACAGAGTTTATGACTGGGAGACAAAGAAATAACACAACTACACAATTTGCTGTCTGTACATAAACAGGGTAACAGGTGACCAATCACCCGGACTTTGAGAACTGACATGATTGATCACTGATCATGATGTGCACCTGTTAATTTATGTAGTGAATTATGGGCTGAAGGGCTAGAAGCAGTTGGTACTTTATGCAATCACTCACAGTTGATATACCATGATAACTGAGATTTTTTTTTTTTTGCTATACAGTAGGTTCTTGTTGGTTATCCATTTAATTAATTAATTAATTTTATTTTTATTTTTGGCCGCATTGGGTCTTCATCGCTGCATGCGGGTTTCTCTAGTTGTCACGAGCAGGGGCTGCTCTTCATTGCGGTGTGCGGTCTTCTCATTGCAGTGGCTTCTCTTGTTGCAGAGCTCGGGCTCTAGGGCGCGGGCTCAGTAGTTGTGGCTTGTTGGCCCTAGAGTGCAGGCTCAGTAGTTGTGGCACGAGAGCTTAGTTGCTCCGCGACATGTAGGATCTTCCCGGACCAGGGCTCGAACTCGTGTCCCCTGCATTGGCAGGCGGATTCTTAACCACTGTGCCACCAGGGAAGCCCAGGAAAGGGAAGATTTTTAAAAGGTAAGTTTTCTGGTTTTTTTTTTTTAAGGTAGTTTAGTTTTTTACTTGTCCCTCTTAACTTCCCAATCCCTTTTTGCTAAACTTCTACTAGTCCATCAGTTCTACTTAGTTTTTTCTGTGACTACTGCACACATACCCCTAACAAATTTTACTCTGCCAATTTCTGTTTTGTTTTTGTCAAGTTGTAAGAATCATTAGACACCCTGGATTGACACCCACAGACCTCGGTTTCCCAAGCTTCCTGCAACTACAATGTTTCCTCCCATGCCGGTGTCACTGTTTCTCAAATACCTTTACTGGTGATGAGGATGTTCTGAATTAATGATAATATCGAAATAACCCAGCTGGTGGCTTGGTCTTTGTTCAGTTCCAGGCTATAAAGTGCTGCAAAAAAGGCTGAGGCCAGGCTAGTGACACCAGAAGGAGCCAGCAGAAGTAAGTCAACCATCTGAGCCGGCCATTAGAGATGGGCTGCTTCCCGTCTGGGCTCTGGCTGCGTCCCTTAGGAACAGAAGTTGAAGGAATAATCTCATAGCCAACAGCTGAGAGACAGGTTTAGGAAGATTACAGGTGATAAAGAAAGCCTGGTGCTATGCATTACCTGGATGGCCCTTGCTATGTGGGAAGAATACGCATTTCCAGCGGTTCCTGGAGTTCTTGCAGTTGGCTGCAAGCCTCCGCAGAACTCTGAGCAGGTAACTGTGGAAATGATGGTGGTTTTCAGGAACCACTGAAAGTACATTCCAGGTTGACACTTGGACAAGTGGAAGATTTCAATAAATAGTAATTCCTGGTAGAAATTAGCAACTCATTACCTGATGATGAGGTTAAATTTTCCCAGTCACTGGAGACTGGACCCAACACCTGCAGAATTATCGTCTTCTCTGAGCACGCTGGTGAATTCACAGCAACTTGTAAAATTCTATACTTTGATACAGAATCGAAAAACTTGTAAAGTTAATTGTACTTTTTCATCAGAACTGCAGTACATGTAAACTCTAAGTGCTCAGAAGCCCCAAACTATATTCATGAATCCATAAATCGCATAATCTCATCATTCCATAGAAGAAAAAGAAGGACAAGTTTCAATAGCCCCCGACAAAGTAGATGAAATATGGGGGTCTGAGACAGGACATTTTTTGTGGGTTTTCCTTAATCCTTTACTTTGTAAGACCAGATATATTGTCTAAGAAGCCTTCAGAGGGATCTAAGCTATCAGCTCCATACTAGAAGTTTAAGGAAATTAAAACAAGCAGAAGTTCGTACCATGCCTGTTGGTTACGCTGAGAGGTAAGAATGAATACGAAAGTAAGAGAGTGGGAGGCAGATAAAAGATTAGATATGGAAACTTACTGAACTTTACCATTTGCCCAGTAGGGTCCTGCCCGCTGGTGACGGCCTTGACCCTCTAAGTAAGAACAGATGAGGCTGGATAAAAGCTTCACCAGCAGGTTAACGTTGGAAGAAAGAACTCCACGAAGACTGTTCACACTCAGAGTAGGTACGTTGTTTCTTCTGAGCAGGAATTCCCCCAGTCTCCTTTAATTCCTGAATGTAGAACCAAGATGAGAAAAGTTAGTTTTACATTAAACCCAGGACCGGTAGCAATTACAGATGGTAGGAAGGCTGTTTCTCTACTTGGAGGGGCATATGCTTAGTGTAAAGAACCTCAGTTTTTCACTTTCTCTCCTTTTTCAGAAAGAAGTCACCTCACAGTAGCTTCAGAACTAGTTTTATGAGAGAATCTAGGATGAAAGAAGAAGAGACCGTTTGATCAAACGTAGAAAACTAAAACACCTCCAGAGTAGGACATCCTGCACTCACATCGGCGCTCACATCACTCCATAATGAAGAGGAAAAACCAGAGGCACAGGGATGGCCCGGGGGACAGGAATTAGAGAAAAACTATTAAGTTTAACAGGACCTCAGGAGCCTTGCAGGAGATCCTCTCTACTGACCTTTTCCACTACATGGGGGAGGGAGCATGACGTTTACCTGTAAAATTTGATACCAAGCTTACCTCAACTATCTCTGTGAGAGAGACAGAGGCTCAAAAGAAGCATCTGAGAGGCAGGAGGCCTGGATGGGAGGAAAGAGAGGTAGAGGTTCCTGTGGTTGAATCAACGGGAAAAGCCATCCAATCCCAAGACTGACGGGGAAAAAGGATGACAGCAGTTTGGATGCTGACGAGCAGTTCAGACCAGGTCACAGCAAATGGGCCCACTGAAAGAAAAGCAGGACGTACAACCCTCATTCTCAAAAATTAAAATCATCTCCAAGGCATTCCTCTCCCAGGTTTAAGTATTTATGTAGCAATTTAACTATGATTATCTAAGGATAACAAGTTATCGTGGCAGTAAAGATCCTGATCATGTGTTAATAAAAGAGATCTGTGGGAAAATGTGTAATGTTAGAATAAATGATTATTCTCCTTTAAGAGCAGAATTAAATGAGTACTCTAATGTGAGGGCAGCAGAGGAAAAATGAAGGCACATACTCATTCTGTTTCTAACTTTGGAAGGAAGGAGAGTGGAGTAATCAAAGGATGACGTGCCACAAACAGCACACATCAGGGCTCACCCACAGCGTGCTCATGTCTCTTGGTGGTGGTGCCGTTCATCTTCTAGAACGTGACATAGGTGACCGTGTTGCAGAGAAGGAGGGTCATGCAGCAGGTGAGCCGCTGGACTCTTGTAAACTGGGTCCAGGGATGTCAAGTTGTGACTGAGAGCCACAGACAATCCTGGGTGAGATTTTCTGCAATCATGGAGGAGAACAGGTGTCTAACAAGATAAATTAGAACAGGAAAGGCAGGAGATTTCATTCTGAAAGTGCCCTAGTCTAGAATGTGGTTTGCCTGGCAGCAAGCTGCACAGCAACAACTCGGCCACTGTTCAGCACCTCCGTGAAGAAGCTTTCAGACGACTTGATGATACGATTTTTTTGTTATTTTGGGGTAAAAGGTTTTGAAGATAAGGGTAATTTTATTGCATGAGATTTTAAAACCAAAACTTGTTTTCGCTTTATCAGAGTTTCGATAAATCTTTTACTCTTAGAAAGTTTGCATTAAGCTTCCACTCAAGACAGTTTGGTAAATTCATACTTGGAGCCCCTTCTCTACTCCAAAAGGAACTATAAATATGATATAAAAAGAAAGAACCCGAAACATTGCCTGGGCTTAAAAACAAAATAAAAGTCTCTGAGAAAGAGGACTGGAATGAGAAACAAGATGGTAGGTGGGGAAGAAGCCACAGGATTCTGTGCTCCAGGTCTGGAAGAAGGCATACACAGGTCAAAGTTGGATTCCCACAGAGTAACTGGAACTGAAAGTGATTCATGGAGTGGGGAAAGGGAGAGCAAAGCCAACTTCACTGCCTGAAGCCAGGGTTGAGGCTGGAGCTCATGGAAGAATTCTGCAGAAAACTGCCACAGGGCTACACATGTATAAGTAGGGAGGTGGGTGAGAGTGGACAGCCCCAGGACCAGGAATTGAGCCAAGAGATCCACTGGCTCATGACAGGACGTGCAACAGATCTGGTTTCTTTAATTTCACGGAGGAATAGGAGCTCCAAAATGGTATAATAAGACCTAGTTCTAGATTAGCGATGTGAAGGGTTGGATGAAAACATCAAAAAAGTACTAGTCAGGGATGTGTGGAGAAACACAGAGAGAGAGGTTGAGATTTAAAAATGAAACCAACCTACAACCCCAAATTCCTAAACACATGAAGAAATCTAATGCTAAGAAAGGCAGCCAACACAATCAGTAATTCAGTCCAGAAGAAATTAATTTCATGGGACAGTCTGAAAAAGACTAAGTATTTCAGGTTGCTCAAAGATACAAGGAATAATGTTCACTTTAAAATAATAAAAAATTATGAAAAACAGGAATAAGTTAGAACTCTTGAAACTGAAAAATATGGTCCTCAAAACAAAAAAATTGGGAGAAAGGGACCTGGTTAAAGAGAAAATTAGTGAACCAAAAGGTAGTATGAAAGAATTCACCCAGAACACATCACAGAGAGACAGAAAAGATATGCACGCAAGAGCGGCTTAAAAACGTGGAGGACAGTTTGAGAGGCTCCAGCATAGAGTAAAGCAATGTCAGAGGAGCAATATTTTCAGAAGTGACATCTGAGAATTTCTGCGAATTTAAGACATGATTCTGTATATCAACAACTACATTTTATGTTATGTGTATTTTACCACAACAAAAAAAATTTTAAGTACATTCTGAGTACTATACAGTATAAACAGTGAATCTACAGTGAAAAGAATTATGGTAAAATTTGGAACATCAGGGATAAAGAGAAAATGTTAAAAAGAGAAAAGACAACATACTTTATAAGAATAACAGCTAGACTGACATAACATAGGCAGTGTTGGAAGGCAATTCTCCACGAATGCTTCCCATTTAGGCATTAATAAAAACTTTGCTCCTGGACTGTCTTTTCAAATATCTTTGTATAAGCAGACAGCCCTGAAAACAGACAGTAAGGAACTCTCTTTGGAGCCAACTTATTTGCATTTCCAGATTGTAAAGATAGAGACATCCTACTCCCCAGAGACATTCTAGGGTAATAAAGATAGAAATGCCCTCTTCTCACCCCTTGAGAGATTTCCCTACATTCCAGGCTAATGAAGATAATGTCTCATTCTACAGGGAAGGACAGGCAGGTTTTCTGGCAGCTGGTATATCAGATCAGAGTCTCCTAACCTTGAGGTTCCTCTTTTGTGATGCACCTCCATTGCATGTGCAGCTAACACCTGGCTCTCATTACATCACCCTGTCGAATCTGGGAACTGACATAAAATATTGCTCTGGTTGCTACTACTGCTATAAGTAGTAAATTGTTTAAATCCACTTGGGTCAGTGGAAACGGTGGAGTAAAGACCTCTGAAAATTCCTCCATAAAAGCAATGATAAAACTTCTCTTAAAAAGCCAGAATCAGGGCTTCCCTGGTGGAGCAGTGGTTGAGAGTCCGCCTGCCGACGCAGGGGACACGGGTTCGTGCCCCGGTCCGGGAAGATCCCACATGCCGCAGAGCGGCTGGGCCCGTGAGCCATGGCCGCTGAGCCTGCGCGTCTGGAGGCTGTGCTCCGCAACGGGAGAGGCCACAACAGTGAGAGACCCGGGTACCGCAAACAAACAAACAAAAAAGCCAGAATCAAAATTTTCAGAACTCAGGTAAATAACCAAAGGTTTGTATTAACCTGGGAGTGTTTACTCAAGAAAAATGGCTGAATATTAGTAAGAACAGTGAATTTTGTGGCATTTTAAATTGTCCTATTTTCCCAGCTCCCTTTCTCTAGCTCCACGGTAACCTTAAAACCAACAGCCTTTGATCACAGTGAAAACCAGCAGCCTGGCAGTCACTAGAAGGAGGAGAATGGGGTTGGAGCTCCTTAAAAGCTTCCTTTCCCCAGAGAGCTGTCATTGTTTGATTTGTCTGATAGTTCCTTGGAAAACTCCACTTGCAAGGCTGTCCTTATATGATGTGACTGGAGGCTCATCCAGTGAAAAAGGCTTTTTCCCTGAGGGCACTGTCAAAAATATTCAGAGGCGACTGTTTACCTTCACAGCTGCCTGATATGGTAGGCAAACGACAGGCTAACCAAAAAGCTTAAATGGAAAAGCTGGAAAATGAGAAGTCCACAGGAGTTTTGAAAAGCTCTGACACAGTCCTGGGAATCTAGAAGGCCACATGCATGCCCAGGGCTGTATGCATGCTGGGGAAATACCTGAGAAGGCCCTACGCTTTCACCCCTGGATGACCCTGAAGCTCTCAGCAAGCAGGAAGTGAAGGCTGAGGCAGAGCTGTCAGTTGCCTTGCTGAGTGCTAAAGGCATAGCACAACATGCATGCAAAACCCCTCAGCAAAGACTGGGAGACTTACTGCTTCAGGCATTTGAAGAAGTCTCTGTCTAGTTATTAGCTGACCACTAAGCTGAGCAGAAACTTCAATTTTCACACATGACAAAGAATACAGACGTTACAGAATTAGTTAGAAACAGACACTAGACAACAACAAACACTAAGAACAACAAATACTGGGGGAGAGGAAGGAAATCTGATCTTCAGAGTTGCCACATTCTATTATTTAAAATGTCCAGTTTTCAACAGAAGATCACAAGACATGAAAAGAAACAAGAAAGTATCTCTCTCTCTCACACAGCCCCCCCACACAAGTCAATAGATTATTGTTGAGGAAGCCAAGACACTCAGTTTACTAAAGATTTCAAATCAGCTATTTTAAATATCTTCAAAGAACTATAAAGGAAACCATATCAAAGAACTAAAGCAAAGTAAATGAGAATGCTGTCTTGCTAAACAGAGAGTTATCAATGAAGATACAGAAATTATTTTTAAAAAGAACCAAATAGAAAGTCTACAGCTGGAAAAATAAAA